TGTGAGGGTGGTGAGAGCCTGGCCCAGGTTGCCCAGGGAAGCTGTGGCTGCCCCATCCCTGGCAGTGTTGAAGGGCAGGTTGGATGGGGCTTGGAGCAACCTGGGCTGGTGGGAGGTGTCCCTGCCCATGCAGGGGGTTGGAACTGGATGATCTTTAAGCTCCTTCCAACGCTAGCCAGACTAAAAACCTAAAGAAAGAAGGCTCCGGGGCCATTGAGGCCCTGTCCAGCAGCCTGGCACTGCTGCGTGGGCACCGGCCCGAGCACGGAGAGCAGCCCAGTGTCCCACGGAAGGGACCTGGCCAGGGCTGGTCACCTCCTGGCAGTGCCTGGGTGCTCCCTGGCCCTCACAGAGCAAGGGGTGGCAGTGGAACCTGCTCCAGGGCAGGTGCTGCTCATGGGGCAGCCTAGCAGGAGGGTCTGCAGCACAAGGGGAGCAGCCCAGGCGAACCCCCATCCCCACTTTGCTCTCAGACCCACGGGCTTCTTGTCCTGCGCAAGAGACGCGTCTGGGTCACCCTGTTCCTGCAGGCTGCCGTCGTGCCATAACCCACAAACCACCTCCAACCAGCACTGAAACCGAACGCTTCCTAATTCGGGTAGCGGAATTGATAACTGGGCTTGTAAATCAGCGAGCCCCCTTTGTCGCTGACACCTTCAGAGCTCCCCAGGGTCCTAAAATGGGGGGAAACCCTGGCGCCAGGGTGGAAGAGAGGAGCTGGGGGCCTGTTGGCCGTGGGGGTGGATACCCCGGGGGCAGATCCACAGGGACAAAAACACCCAGGGACAAACAGGGATAAAAACACACAAACACAACCCCCCCCCCCATTCCCTTCCCCTCCCAGCCCTGTTTGGCGCGCCGCACCGCGCATGCGCACCCGGGAGCGGTGCCTCCTCCGCGGCGCTAGGGGGCGCTGTTGGGCGCGGCGCTGATGGGGAGGGGGTGGGGCCGCCGCTCTGTCCCGCCCCCTCGGCGGCCATGGCCCTTCCCGGCATTCCCTATGAGCGGCTGCTCGTCATGGCGGACCCGAGGGACAAGGCG